CGATGTCAGATTAGACACAATATTGAATTTACCTGGGCTGGTTAGTCCGATGATAATACCTCAAGGCCATCGCCCTTAAAAAAAAAAAAAAAAAAAAAAGAAAAGAAAGAAAGGAAAAGAAAAGAAAAGAAAAGAAATAAAACGAGAAAAAACTCATGCATTATCCCCCCTGCTCGGGGACCATGCTAATTTTCTCTCTCTCCGTCTCTTTCCAAATTTCACAGATGTCCCGAAGGAAAAAGACGGCAGTTTAAACCATGCATATTACAGTAATAGTCACAAAAACATTTTGAAATTACACTTGGGGCCAAAACGAGTTTCAAATTGCACTGGGGGCAATGTACCTGACTGGAAAGCTGGCTTATGTACCTGACTGGAAATCTGGCTTGTATACATTGCTCGGAGTGCAATTTGAAACTCGTTTTGGCCCCAAGTGTAATTTCAAACTGTTCCCAATTAGTCATACTCCCATCTAGGTGGATGGCGGCGGTGTAGGCCTCTTCTTTCCGCATTCAGACGCCAGCGAAAAGCTGACCAGATACTGACTTCCCCCAACACAACATCGGGCTAGAAAGTTAGCCTGTATTCATCTCTTGACGAGGGGGCATTCTGTTGGGGGAAGAAGGTAGCCTATCACATCCAGGAAAGATCTATTTCCAGGATGTGAGGATAAGGATGCCCTGCCGGTGCCCCGACTGGTAGCCGAGGGTGCCCTGACTGGTAGCCGAGGGTGCTCTTATAGCCTCTGCTAACAGGGTGACGGCTGGTTCTTAAAAATAACAGTTTGCAATTGCAGTTGGGGCACCCTACACCTGGCCAGAAAGCTGGGTTGTATACATTGCCCAAACTGCAATTTGAAACTGTATCTTGGCCCATAGTGCAATTATAACTCATTTTTGTGACTCCCGCCTAGTTTCCCCTAAAAAGAAGGATGCCCTCCTTCTCTTGGTGATTGGAACAGAGCAGAAGGGGATTTCGGGTAATGCCAAAGAAGTTCCTGCTGGGGCCCAAGGGGTCCTAGTGGGTGTGACGCGCAACCTCACGACCTGCGCTGTCTTCCGTTCGGAGTGCTAAAAGTGTGGAAGGGATGCCCCGAAAAACAGCAAGATGGGGTGTGCCAACGATTTTTGGGAAATTGAGTGTGGGGATACAGGCAGAACTGAAGTCCCCCGTGTTGGTCTGATGAAGTGAGCGATTTGGCGTGTTTCGCCACGCGCGGAATTTGCGACGCGTGGCCCTTTCCTTGTGCTCGTCCTCGTTCTGCGTTCGGTAATGGAACCCCTTCGACTGGTAGTGATCGAGACGTTGGCAATCACTACACAAAGTGTTAGGCCAATGGGGTGCCTCTGCCGACCACGGGATGACGATCAACTCGTTAAAGGGTAGTAGCAGTGAGTGTGGCGGAAAGTGTGTATATCCACAATGACAAACCCAGCGCCTACGGACCCAGAACATCGATTTTCAAGAGGGAAGTAGTACTGCCCATCGATCTTTGCGACGGTTCTCGTATGTCCCACTCACAGATTCGCGCCTGGTCCTCGTTATACGGAAAGGGGCGAAGAGGGGTTACGGGAGGCTGTCGCCTAGTCGGATTGAGCCTGTTAGTCCACATGGCAAACAATCAGGAATATCTCAACTATTCATCGCGTGCATGCAATCCCATCAATCCAGTCGGGAAGGTCAGACACGAAAAACAAAGGGGTCCGAGAAAGAGAAAGGAAAGTTCATGGATGGCGAGACACGGCCATTATTTTTGTACTTGGATCATGCATCGCATAGTCGCGCTTTCCTTCGAAAATCACAAATCAAAGCATTCTTGCATTTCCAAATCCCAACAATATTGCCCCGGCTATCGACTCGCCCTAATCAAGAAGGGTTTCGTACCCGTTCATTCTCGTCTGCAGGCATTCACTGTGGAAGGTGCGAAAAATGACAATCATGCAATCTTCCTAATAAGGTTGACGTCAAGGGGAGAATCCTTAGTAATCGATACACGCGCATCCACCGTTCACAAGACAAAACCCAATAGCTCAGCGGACTACCCAGGAAACTAATGGAAGAGTTTCGGAAGAAACCATTTGAAAACACTCATCACACTCATTCCATCACTTGTCAATCCCTAGCTTATTACATAGAACCATTCACAATCAAAGGAAGAGAGAGAGAAAGGGAAGGAGGAATAAAGATCGGAAGAGGAATTACACAGAGATCGAGGAATGGAAGAAAGTCCGGCTTTACCGTCGCAAAGTCACACCAAGAAATAGAGTCGCAACCAAGACGGCGTACTCGCCATTAAATTCCAACGCGGCCCTGGGCCAGTCATACACTCAACTCAGATTACTTGTCCACATTCCGACGCCGACGATCCCGGCCGCCGCGCATCATCCTTCACCACCGCGATCGTCACCCCGCCAACTTAGTCTCGACGTGGCTTGCCCGGATCCCACAGTCCGTCGTGGCGATCTAGCGCACCGCCAGTCAGTCTACAGTTGACTCGTCAGGATTTTCCGACTCACACCGTACACCACCTAGCCACTACTTCCTGGAAGCTGACCGATGAGTTGAGAGAGAGTTTTGCGGGGGCGCCGGCGGAATTTATAGTTGCGAGAAGGGAGGGAGATGCGAAGAAGGGTGAATGGGGAGGTAGAGGAGGGAATAAGAGAGTTTGCAAGTAGCCGCCCATCGAAAGTTATGTTGATCCTCCTAACTCGACCTCAACCAATCAGAATCGTCGTGCAGTACGAACTTACACAGCGCTTCTCCTTGGTTAGATGGGGAGGGAGAATCGACTGGGTTTTCGAGCGCGCATTTTTAGAGTGGGAAGAAGAGGAGCGCGAAGGATAGCACGAAACGGGTCCCAGATTCAGATGATCAAGAAGAAGGAAGGAAAAAAGGCGCGCGCGGAGAAAGGGGAGGGAAAAGCAGTTACGGGGGGCGGGTGCGAGAAAGCGTACGCGAGCGAAGAAGGACGGTGAGAGGGACGGAAGGGAGGAAGGAGGAGGGAGCTTGCTCGCATGGCGCCGGTTGGCAAGAGGAAATTGGGCACCAAAACAGTTGCAGTTTTTCCCAATCCTATGCTAATTCAAAATTGAAAGTACCATATCCGCGCGCAAAACAAACGCGGGAAAGAAAAATTTTCCGTCGATCCATATTCGTACAATAATTTCCCAGAGTCTTCAAGGTCGAGGCTGAGAGCATTCGCGCGTGGAAGGTCGCACGGTATTCCGATAGTTCCCGGATTTCTAACTGCCGAGCCAAATTCCAAGCGCGCTCACTAAGGCGCGCGAAATTCCCATGCATTTTCAATCAGAAAA